TCATCATGTCAGTGAGTGGCATCACTACTCTTCCAAAATTATTGATAAATCTTCGATAAAAATTTGCGAGGCCTATAAACCAGAAAATATCTTTTGTACACTCAGGTCTGTGCCATTTCTCAATAGCCTCTAATTTCGATGGATCCATTTCAATGCCGTCAGTTGATATAACCAGTCCCAGAAACTTAATTCTCTGTACATGGAATTCACATTTTTTAATATCTATCTTCAGACCTGCCACAAGTAGCCTATGAAGCACCTTCTTGATATGGTCTTCATATTCTTTCAGTGAATTATTGTAGATGAGTATGTCATCTATATATGCCATACAAAATTCATCTAAGTAACCTTTAAGGGCGTCATTGATATAATTTTGGAACGAGCTAGGGGCATTTGCAAGACCAAATGGCATGACAAGATATTCATAAAGACCAAATTGAGTTCGAAAAGCTGTAAGATATTCATCGCCTTTCGCTATGCCCAATTGATTAAAAGCTGATATCATATCTAGTTTTGTAAAGTATTTGGCCTTTCCTAACAAAGTCAAAGTTTCATTAATTCATGGTATAGGGTATTGATTTTTAATCGTGAGGCCGTTAAGTGCCCTATAATCTACGCAAAACTGAAGGCCACTGCCAGGCTTCTTTACAAAAAGTACAGGAGACAAAGCCGGAGATGAACTAGGTCTTATGAATCCCTTCTCTAAATTTTCATGGATATATTTTTTCAGAACTAGGAGTTCTTCTCGAGACATTCCATAGAGCGGCCCCCAGGGAGGCTCTGAACCTGGTTTAAGTAATATCCGATGGTCACTGGGTCGATGCTCGGGCAATCCATCAGCTTTCTCTTTGGAAAACACAGGCAGGAACTCGTGATAAACTTTTGGTAACTTTTCTGCAGGGTCAACTACTGGTTTGTCTTTTAGCGCTTCGCGAATGTCAGTTATGGACACAGCCATCACCGTAGCACAATCCTGCGCTGCCAAATTTTCAAATGTTTCTCTATTGCAATATTCAATTTCAATTGACGATAGACCTGGTTTGCAATGCGCCTCGACTTCTCTGGGTGAAATTGCCTGAACAATAACAGGTAGATTTTTTACATGTTTTCGGCATTTCTCATGTTCAAACTTCAGTACTTTGTCACACCACTTAATGGTTGGATTGTGGAATTGTAACCAAGGTAAGCCCAAAACAAGATCAAAGTAAGCAAGAGTTGTAACAAAAAGCAGGATAATTTCCGAATGCCCATTAATTATAAGATTAGTTTTGGCCATATGTGTTATCTTACCCGAAGTTGTATCAGTTCCGTCGAATACTTTCAAAGATCGGGAACGAGGAAGTTCTAATAATTCGAAACAATTTTCAAGCGCAAACTTGGTATTGATAAATCCATGAGCAGATGCTCCACTATCAATGAGAGCTAAGGAAGGAATTTTGTCTTGATTCTTATTTCTAACTGAACACTCAATTACAAAATGACTATTTTCTTCCCAAGTTGACTCATTTATAGCTGCAGATGATATCACCAAGTCTTCTGAATGGCCCTTTGAGCGACTTTTCAAAGAGCATTCTAGTTTTCCGCACCACCCTGAGTTCCTTTTGCCACAACATCGGCCGAATTTAATTTATGCCGAGCCCGGTTAGATTTCATAGGACAGACTCGAATTGAATGGCCGGGTTTTCCACAGTAAAAACAGAGACCTAGTTCACGACGTCTATCCTTTTCTTCTTGCGTCAGAGGGCCCTGATGTCTTATTCCTAATGCTGATAAGTCCATGGGGTCTCCTATACGAGGACGATTTTGTACCAGATGATTTGAGATAGCAGGTTGTAGATATCGGCTGTTGTGATCAGAAACCAGGTTTTCCACAGTGCGTAGACGATTTTCCATGTCCTGCAGTCTGGCAATAGCACTATCTAAATCTAACATATCGATATCCTTTTCATGAACTAAGGCTTTCTTTAGTTCCAAGCTCATGTTGTAAAATATCAGATTTCTGAGGGAGCGCAACTCGAAATCATAACCGGCAATGGAAGCATCTTTTCGTATGTCAGTTATCCAATGCAAAAAGGGTCTGTTATTCTGAAAGTTTGCATGGAGTCTATTTGTCGCGTCCCTAACCCGATTTGGGTCGCCAAACAACGGATCTAAAACCTCAAACATTTGAGCAACCGAAGCAAATAAGACTGAACCATCTTTGATCCAGGAATTGAGATGTTCTCTGCAGTTAAATCTCATCTGGGAATATATGTATGCCATTCTGGTGTGTTCCGTTGGGAAGTAGTCAGAATTTGTGTTCAGTTTGAGTGAAATTGATTCCCTCCAGACATAGTAGTCATCTTTCTTACCAGAGAACGGTTTGCAATCGGTGCGGAGCATAGTTTTCTGAGGTCGTGGCTGCAAGAGTTCAGCTAATCAAGTCAAGGTGTCATTAGAGGAGTCAGATCTCTGTTTAGCTGCTTTAACCCTAGCTGCTTTTTCCATTTCCTGGACTCGTAGCTGTGATGCAGCAAGCTCTTTAGTCGTAGTCTCTAGAGCAATGTTGCGCTGCGTCAAAGTCTGAAATGCATCAAATATTAATTGAGGCTCCTCCTTAAAACCTTCTGCTAGCTGAGATGGTTCCGAAACTTCCGATAAACGTGCGAGAAGTTCCTCGAGGGAGACTTTAGCAGTACCATTTTTCTCGGATGACATGACTATTCGAGAAGATATAAATATTGTGAGCTTTTTGTAATGTCAGGCTCGTTGGCTAGTTCGGAGGTCAAGGGTCGGAACAGGACGGAGTCGGGACGGAGTCGGCACGTATGTAGTCGGGACAGGGTGTGATCGGAACGGGACGAGGGCGAGACAAGACGGAGGCGGAGTCGGGACAGAGTCGGAACAGGATGTGATCAGAACAGGATGTGATCGGAACGGGACGAGGGCGAGACAAGACGGAGACGGAACGGGACGGAACGGGACGGAGGCGGAACGGGACAGAGTCGGGGTATAAGGTAAAGCTTATAATAATTGGATCAATCTAAAGTCTAGAATAATTATAAGACAAAAAGCTACAGAACAAAGCCAGTCCTAGACCTTCCTTAGGTTCTCAAGAGCGAATACTACAATCAGGGGTATGGTAGTCTACAGCTATAACACAGCAACTGATTGCTTATGTTGATTAGTAACTGTTGCTATCATAACATTGTAACCATCGCAACGCATTGACTGTGTTACTAGGGGAGCTCCTGACTTGGTTAACCAGACTAAGCGCAGCATCTCAGCATTAGCCCATGGCACAATGGTAGTGACTAGCAGGCCGTTTTCCTCGTGGGAAAGCCGGTCTGTGACAATGTTGGACTTTACCGAGGACCGCCATTATCCGTGCACAATCAATCCCGTGCCTGATCACAACTCCTAGAGATCAGCCTTCCTCATTGGCTTGATACAATCTCATGACCAACCACCAATGTCTAACCATTGCACAAGCATAGCAACATTGTCGATTGGTAAAATAGTCCATGCATGAATGTGCAGAGCAAATTCATGTTCATGTATCATAACAGCTTTAGAGGCCAAATGGGATGAAAGAATTGATCTCAGCACGGCAACTCCTCATGATATCAATTCCTACATAGAAACAAAGATTCATTTCTACGAAGAAAACAATACTACTAACTCAAATCTATGGGAACAGTACCAAGTTGACTTCGCAACATTCACAATAGCTGCTTTCAAAAGCCCTAAACTGAAACTAATACAACGGCTACAAGACTGCCTCTTGAGTAGAGGAGTTTTCGTAGATCGCAACACAAGTAGGCTCACTCTTTCACAGGCACTTTACAATTGCGCAAAGGAAGAAGAACAGCATAAATGGTCTGACAGCAATGTAATCAATGCCGCTGAACGATTAGAAGAGCCTCTGAAATCAGTTAAGCTGAAACGACGTCTATGTCACAGTTCAAATATAGAAAGCGAATGGGCATTTGTATGATTGAAAGGTAAAGCTATAATTCATCTATGTAGAAGCAAACTACCTGCAAGTCTACTACTTATACACATCCAGAGGTATCTAAATCTAGCCTACACTTACAGTGGCAATGAAACTGATTAAAGGTTTGTTCTGCCACACGGGTAACGCTTCCGATAATCTTGGCACTATCCTTTACGTAGCCTCAATGCCGATCTCGTATCAGTTATTGTCTGCTGATAATCCTCGGAGTGATAGAGAATATAGGTTGCCTTCGATAGCCATCAAAGGCTACAGGACTTATCGGCTCACAAGCCGTCACAGTCTAGATGCAATCCAAGTAGATAATATAATCATGGAGAAATACAGCGACAATGGCAGCTAGTTCAAGACTGAAAAATCTTCCGACCTGCAAGTACCCCTACAACTGACTTTGCCTGATCCAAAAGTATCATCTTTACAAACCCCACAAAGAGTGCAGGCTCTAAGACCGACGTCACCAATATCTCCTCCTACTTACGTTGCGCAGATGTCGAAATTGATTAAGGTTTATTCTGGCGAGGCAAAATTCGAAGGAACTGGGGATAGTCTAGATCACAAATTGACGAATTTTCACCACCTCTATGATCTCACTGGTATACCCAGAGAGGCATATCTAAGAGCACTCTCAGTAATGCTGTCAGGATTCGCAAAAGAGCACTACTTCGCAGCAAATCTGTTGTACTTAACTTTTGAGCAAGCAGTTGATCATCTTTGTAACTTCTTTGAAGGTCCTGGTTACAACCGAAGAAATCTAGGCAAATGGAACAAAACATTGTTAAAGTTGATTATGTTGCAAAATAAAGCTAAGTCAACATCCAAATGTCTGCAAATCTTGGTCCAAACACTGAGAGAGATCCAGCATGGCCTAACAGAAGATCTCTGTACCAACTCCTTTATGCACAACAAAATTATTACTGCATGCAAAGGCGTTCCAGCTTGCAAATATGCCATTGCAAACCCGCCACCAAAAGTTGGTGAACTCTTGAATCAACTACAGAACTCTATTATGCCCTATGAAGGAGAAGAGAAAAATGATCAATTCAATGTCAACCAAGATGCATTCTTCACAGATAGAAAATATCATCAAACAGGTCAAGCACAAACTAGTAAAAACAACACGCAAAGTGTGACGGTTCCACCCTAGATCATTAGATAGGGTTGTTATATCCACATTACATTCACTTCACATAAGATATTGCTAGAGTTCTTTGTTTGTAGCGCACAGACCAGCGTAGATAATGTAGAGTTGTAGATCTCTAGATACTTTCCCTTCCCTTTTACTCTTTAGTTTAGAATCTTTTGAATATAGTCTTTATCCAATTCGACTTTGTCATTTGTCAACCTGTGATCTCCTACGGCTCTCACATTATTCTAAACTCACGTCAACGCCTGGGAAGGCATTACAATTTCCTAATCTCATTGAGACTGAGATTTAGCAGTTTTTAAGTAAATAAAAGATTGCGGTGAAACTTGCCATAACATTTAATTGTTAAAAGTGCAATTTCAGGGAATAATAAAAGCATACAATATTGTGGCTAAGTTTATTTTCCCACTCTCGAGATAAAGTTTTTTTTCAGTCATAAATATACACTCAAAACAGTCACTCACATCAAAAATACTCTAGTACTTCATCATGCCCGATACCACTCAAAAAAAAAAATCCGACTCTCTTGTCCAGCAGCCTCCATCACCTCATGCCGAGCACGAACTCGATATAGCCTACCAAGAAGATTTAGGGGAAAACGAACTACTATCCACCATCAATGCCCCATACATTGGTCGTCGAAAAAATAAGCCTCGTATATCTGAAGTTGATCGGAAAGTGGAAGAGTTGACAATAACTCAAAACACAATTGGGAAGGAAATGGCGGATGCTATTGTTGATAATGCCTACAGGCAAACTAGTAGGCATTATAGTATGGAACGCACCAACATACATCAGCAGGAGGAGATTAACTTTCTCCGGGAAAAATTAGACAGATTGGAAAAACTCATGGAAAGTCAACTCGACATGGAAAGCTCACAAGGTGGGGTATACCAGGAGCATAGGCAAAAAAGCCACACAGCCTTCCACCCTCAAAATACAGGATTAATGGAAGATATTGACGAAGAAATTCCACCCCAAAGGAACACACAATACACATATTTTCCCCATTCGCGTGAGCCTAAAGGGAAAATACCCACAAGAGGCGATTATCTCGAGGAAATGAAGAAAAGTAGCAACTACAATCCTCAGCAAAGACAGCAACACGTTGCGCAAAGCACTACTTCGGAATACAAAAATCGTACATCAACAGCTCCCTTTAAACTCCGAAGTAGCGAAGAGCCCAACTACCAAGGCCCTCCGTTTGCAAAATATCGAGATCAATCAGAAAGTGTCGGACAAACGTATGGAAATGCATTTCTTGGAGTGGCCGACCGAAAGATTGACCCTATTCGCGAGTTTGGGGGCTCCAATGATTTGAAGTTTTTTGAAAACTGGTTGATTTTGCTGAGAGGAAAGATAAGGGATAACGAAGGACATTGGGGCTCTGACGATCGCATAATGAACTTCATCTTCGCTTCGACTAAAGACGACGCACAAGAATTACTTGGGCCTTACTTTACCGGGGAGGATCCTGAAAATGACTTTGTCAACTCTGTCCAAATGGTCAATCATCTGATTGCTACATATCGAAGTAGCACTCTCCAGCGTGACAGTATGGTTAAATTCGAAGCTCTGCGGCAGGGATCTGCTGAGTCTTTTCAAGATTTCAAGACTAGATTTATTTCTCTAGCAGGAAAGGCAAAAATCCACCATTCAATGAGAAAAGATCAGCTCTATGAAAAAATGAATCGACAACTTAAGCTGGCTGTCTTTGCCCAATTACACTTGCTCCCTGACTTTAATTCGTTATGTCAATATGCAGACCCTGTGGACAAGGAAAGAATTAGACTCGAAAAGAGCATGGTGAACACCAAGTCGGAAAGATTTAATTCAAGAAGACTGTACAACCCCGATTCATCTACATATCAGTCTGTTAGTGTACCAGTCAGTCGTACCGACACGAAAGAAGAATCTTTACCATCCAGAGGGGTCATCTGCTACCATTGTAAGAAGAGGGGACATACAAAATTGGAATGTCCTAATAAAAGTTCAAAATTAGGTGGTCCCACAGTTCAAGTTGTTGCCATTGAAGAAGCAGACAGCGAACTTGATTCTGAAGGGGAATCACAACATTCCAGCCAGTTACAGGAGGGAAACGAACAATCCTAGATAAAGACGCCCTTCTAGGATATTTGGTCGACATTCAAGAATTAGACCTGGGCAAACTATTCTCAGGGAAGACATACACTTTGCAGTGTTCTCTATCATTTAACAATCAAATTGTCAAGAGTGTCTCAGTTCTACCCGATACAGGTGCTAGCGGATTTGCGTATATTGATTCGCGATGTGCAAAGGCCGTTGCTAAGTGGCTAGGCCAAACCCCAATTCATTTAGGTTATTCTATTCAATCGAAAGGCTTTGACGGAAAAAAGGGTCCAGTCATTTCAAAATATATTCTATTGTCATTATGGATTGATGATAGGCGTTTGGATAACTTGCCATTTTTAATAGTCGAATTGGGGACCCATGATATAATTCTTGGGAGCAGGTGGCTAGCACATTATGATATCCTGATCGATTCCCGACAGCGCAGACTCATCTGGCCCTCTCACCACCATACAACACCAAGATTTTCATCTCCCATTTGCACTCATTTATTGTTGTTGATGAAAGACAAACCCAAAATCCTGAAAATTCATCAAAAGGATGTGGAACGTCGCGACAAATTACAGAAAAAAGAGGATCAGAGTTTTCACTTTGGCGCTTGTTCAAAAAAAAGGCCCGTGCACACCAAAAAAAGTTTGCATCGCAATTCCAGTGCATCATTTTACGAAACTGCGACATCAAATAGAGCCATCAACGAGCATGATAACTGTAATGATAATAACAGCATTATCTCAAACGAAGAACCTCATCATGCCAACAAACTGCAATTGCTGTCCACGAACAAAATTAAATCGAATGAATCATGCAGCATAGATATTTGTGAAATAAGCGCTCCTGCTTTCCACTTAAATTTAGTACCAGCTGACAATATCTTTTTCTCCATTAGTCTCCATGCGATCGAACAAGAACTTGAAAATAGGACGAAAAAATTAAATCTAGATGACTGTCAGGAAGATATAGAGGAATTACTGAACAAAGTCCCTGAAAAATACCACGACCTCATAGATGTTTTCTCCAAATCCGCCTCTAATGTTCTCCCGCCCCACCGACTGTATGATCATAAAATTGTGTTGGAGAATCATGCGCAACCCACATCAGGCCCATTATACCCTATGTCGGAAGATCAACTAAAGGCTGTCCATAAATATTTACTGGAGAACCTAGATAAGGGATTTATTGAACCCAGCAAAGCACCATTTTCTAGTCCAGTTCTATTTGTCAAAAAATCTGATGGGAGTCTCCGATTTTGCATCGATTTCCGAAAATTAAATGCGCTTACTAGGAAGGACCGTTACCCGCTGCCGTTAATTGATGAAACACTTGCCCGGCTAAACAAGGCCAAAATATACAGCAAGCTCGATATCAGGCAAGCCTTTCATAGAATTAGGATGCATCCAGATTCAGAGGAACTCACTACTTTCCGTACAAGATATGGCTCGTACAAATGCAAAGTACTCCCATTCGGATTAACCAACGGGCCAGCAACTTATCAGAGATATATGAACGACATTCTTCTTGACTACTTGGACGTTTTCTGCACAGCGTAACTTGATGATATTCTAATATACTCCGAAAACGAAATTGATCATAAAGAACATGTAAGAAAAGTTTTGATGCGGCTTCAGCATGCTGGTCTACAAGCAGACATCAAGAAATGCGAGTTTGACGTAACAAAAACACGCTATCTAGGATTCATTATTTCCACTAAAGGATTAATGGTAGATCCTGATAAAATTTCAGTTGTCAAAAGTTGGGCAGCTCCAAAGACAATCAAAGGAATTCAATCTTTTCTTGGTTTTTGTAATTTTTATCGTCGATTTATTGCCAATTTCGGTCGTATTGCTAGACCATTGATTAATCTAACAAAAAAAGGTGCCACTTTCGACTTTGATTTGAATTGCCACAAGGCTTTCGAATTACTAAAAAATGCAATGACTTCTGCGCCACTTCTTTCTCACTACAATCCCGAACGATATTCACGTCTAGAAACTGATGCGTCTGATGGAGTGGTCGCAGCGGTGCTGTCACAGAAGGACGAACAGGACAATTGGCACCCAGTAGCTTTTTTTTCCAAGACAATGCAGCCAGCAGAGTTGAACTATGAAGTGCATGACATAGAGATGCTAGCAATAATTCGTGGCTTGGACAATTGGAGGGCTGAGCTACAAGGATCCCCACATAAAATAGAAATTGTTACTGACCATCGAGCATTAGAATACTTCATGACATCGAAAAACCTCACTGCCAGACAAGCAAGATGGTCTGAAATACTTTCTCAATTCTTCTTCCAGATTATGTATCGACCGGGACGTCAAAATGCTTCTGCAGACGCCCTATCTAGACGAGAGCAAGACACGAACATTCAAGATGAAATCAAAAGAGAGATTCGATACAAACCTTTAATACAGAACCAAGATTTGTCAGAAGAAGTTGTTAAAGATCTAAACGTTTGTTTCCTGGAGTCATTCAAGGTTATCGATGCTGTCCTCGCCGCTAATAAATCTCATGAAAGTCTACAAGACCTCCGCCAAAAAGTAGACACTAATGAACATCTATCTATGGACGATGGCATACTTTTCTTCAAAGATAGATTAGTAGTTCCAATGGTGGATAACGTTCGCACGGAATTAATTCGACAGGTTCACGATCAATTGTCTAACGCTCATGCAGGTCGCAATAAAACTTACCAAGAATTAATATCAAGATATTTCTGGAATGGTATGCGTAAAGATGTAGAACGTTATTGTCGCAATTGCCATCTGTGTCGTACTAACCATGCAGCTCGAGATAAAACTCCTGGCCTGTTACATCCACTGCCCGTTCCAGATCGACCTTGGCAACATATTTGTGTCGATTATATGGATATGCCTAGGGATAAAAAAGGCTTTGAT